AGGCTTTCCGTACAGTGGAGATTCGGCGCTGGGTCATCTGTGCCATGATCGGGATCCTGACCGGCCTTGTTGCCTGCTTCATTGATATTGTGGTGGAATACTTGGCTGGTCTTAAGTATGAATTGGTGAAGGGCAGTATCCTTTGAGCACAGCCGAGCTCCATCCTGCTCAGAGGGGTGGTGTGAAGGGGGTCCTGATCGACGCCATTGTGTTATTTTTTCTTTCCATGTTTTGCTTACTCGAGAGCCACAAACACAAATCTTTAGTTTTAAACGGAGACTGCTTGAGAATCCAGTGGGATCAGCTTGGTTTGTTGTGGATGGAGTTGGTAACAAAAGGGTTTGATGTGGGTGCAAGTTGGCCGGCAGGTCGTTACTCACTTCCTTCATACCCGGTTCCGTTCCCTTCCCTAAATTTTCTGAGTTTTATTTCCAAACCTCGAGGTTCTTTCAGGCGTGCTGATATTTCCCCTCTTGCGTGTCAAATTATGGAAACGTTGAGTTGGACTACAGTTCCCAGAATCCCCCAACTGGCCCATCTGCCAGCCAGGAGGTGTGGTTGTTCAAAGAAAGCCACTTTCCCAAGCTGCCTGCATGTATGAATTGTGCCACAAAGCGGCGGGGGAGGGGGAGAGACTTCTACCCCTGCCCGAGAGGGATGACCCCCCCCGCACGGCTCCCCCCTCTCAAAATCTCTGGCTGGGTTATTATTATTTTTTAAACTGCCTTCCTCCAGACATTGACGGATTCACTGAGACGGGACGCTTGTCTTTCTCGCTGCTTCTCTGGGCCACCCTAAATGCAAGCTTTGTGATGGTCGGTTCCGTGATGGTAGCTTTTATCGAGGTAAGGCCCCCATCCTGATTCCTGTTCAGAGGGACATTTCCTCCGCTGTGGGGAGGGGGTGAGGCTGCCCACCAACCCTTGAGCCCTGGGTGGAATGACAGAGAAGGCTAAGAAAGAGCCAGTCGGGATCTCTCTGTTGGGAACAACCAACAGGCAAAAAAGTCTCTCTTTCTCTTCTCTTCTCTCTCTCTCTCTCTCTCTCGGTAGCCCGTGGCGGCCGGCAGTGGGATCCCTCAGATCAAGTGCTACCTCAACGGAGTCAAGATCCCCCACGTGGTTCGCTTGAAGGTGAGCAGGAGGCAAAGGGGGAGAGGAAGAGAGTCCTTAATTTTCAACCCAGTGGTGGATTTGCAGTTTTTCAGAGCATCACCGGCCCTTATCTTCCTTAGCTGGGACCTCCTGCATGAGATCTCCCGTGACGGGCAAATCTGTCAGACTCTGTTCGCCTATCTTGAAAGGGTGGGCAGGGGAGCCTCCCTCCCTCCAAACCGAGGTTCTGCCAACTGGCCCTGCCCTGCCTGCATGGTGGAGGCGGATTTGGGCCAGACGTTAAAACAGAGGTCAGCCGCTGGCAGCCATGGCCTGCTGGCGCTGGGAAGGAAGTTCTCCTGTTCACACTGGCGGTGCTCTATCCTTGGCCCCCGTGTTTCATACGCCCTTCCCTCCCTTCTCAACCTGATGCTTTAGGGACAAATAAAACACAGCAGAGCAAGTGGTTAAAACCAGACGTAAGTGGGAAAGTATCTTAATAGATCTTAACGAGGTGCCCAAAACATAAAGAAGTGAGGTGCTGAAGAAGCCTCTTGCATCGTTGGGGTCCCTCCCCAAGAAGACTTTTTCCTTGGTCATCACGTCGTCCTCGTGCGCACACTTTTGATGAAGGCAGAGAGGTTACGCGGCTTTGCCAGCCTTCCCTTGGAATCGCTCTCTCTGTGTTTCATTTGTTGGTGTGGAAGGGATTCTGGCGAGATCCCTGAGGGATGTGGAAGCAGACGCTCTCTGTCCCTGTCTTGTATCCAGCTGCTCGGTGCTACGGCTGAGTAAAGGCGCCGACGGATCCCGGCTCCTCTCAGAACTGTGGCCCTGCTTCCTTTGCAGACGCTGGTGGTCAAAGTTTGCGGCGTGATCCTGTCGGTGGTCGGAGGCCTGGCGGTTGGAAAGGTAAGGAGGAGAGCATGCAGAGGGAACCAGGAGGGAAACGCTGCTGCTCCCTCTTCCAGTGTTTATTATTAGTCAGAATATTCCTATCCTGGCCTTTCTTCCAGTCGTCTCCAAGTAGCATGTTGGACTTCTCCTCCTTCCTGCTTTTTCCTCATTAGAGCCCTGTAAGGTAGGCCATGCTGAGGTCAGGAAGAGCCATTTGAGGAAGCCATTCGGCTGTCCAGCCCAGCAGCCTTTCAGAATTAAGCACGGGTCCAAATCCCGGCACATGTCTGGCTGTACTTTTGGGGAACCCGGTGAAGGCAAGGACGCCCACCCCCGCTCTCGCCAGAGATTAAGAGAGGATGTGTATCATGGGGGGGGGGGGTTTAAAGAAAGGAAGGCCAGAAATGTTCCTTTTATCCATCGTAGGCCCCAGAGTCGAGCAGGCAACCTGGACGGTGAAGGATTCTGGGTGTCATAGTACTGAGCCCTGGCGGGGACATAATTTGTTTGCATTGGGGAGGAGGTGGGGTGGCACCTCTGTGAGCCCTTCGTCTTCCCCATTGGGTCCAACCTTTCTCAGCCTATAGGGAAGGGGGGGCAGGCTGAGGTTCCACGCAGGCTATCCCCCTGCCTCCTCCCCCCCCCCAATATCTCCTGCCTGCTCTTTTCCTCACTTGGGCTTCTTTCGCTCCCAGGAAGGGCCCATGATCCACTCGGGCGCCGTGATCGCCGCCGGCATCTCTCAGGGACGGTCCACGTCTCTAAAGAGGGACTTCAAGGTGAGTGGCTTGCAGGGGCCACCCGGCCTCTCTCCTCCTCTTCCTCTTCCAGGGACCAGCGGTGCTGCTCCGTTTTGCGGGGGGGGGGTCTGGGGAAATTGTCCGGCTGCCTTGCAGATTGGGATCTGTTGGAAGCCTGGGGGTGGATCTGGCCCTTTGGGGGGGGCCCTCCCGAGGGCCGTGTCACTGTCCCCATCAGAAGGGGGAAGTGGGAGGGGTGTTTTTGGGGGGGGAGGGTCCCCAGTTTTTATGCCAAATGCCTCTCCCAAGGCTTCTTTGGTGGCAGAAAGAGCTTTATGTCAAAAGGGGCTGGATCTTTTTTTTTTGGTCCAGCCTTTTGCCTTTGGAATCCACCCCCGGGGGCATCTCTGAAACTGAATTTGGCCCATGGCTGATCTGGGCTGAGCAAGCCTCCATCTCCTGCCTTGTGCAGATCGATTCCCCCGGCCTTTCGCGCCGTCCGGCAGATTCTCCCGGCTCATAGCCAGAGGCCCATCTCTCACCCGGAGCATCTCCTGCGCTTAACAGGTTGCCCGTTTCTGTCTGGCGCCCTGATAGGTTCTAAAAGCTCCGTTTGTTTCCAGATCTTTGAATACTTCCGGAGGGACACTGAGAAGCGGGATTTTGTCTCGGCCGGAGCCGCCGCTGGGGTCTCGGCGGCCTTCGGAGCCCCTGTCGGTAAAGTCCCGGAGCTCCACCGCAGAGCCCCGCGTGGCTCTCCAAAGTTTTCGGGCTCAGCCTCCTTGGGGTCAGGGGGATGCTCAGAAATATTCTGGGCTGCTGCCGGGCCGTCCCTGCAGTAATTAACCGAGAGGGACCCCGAGTCCGAGCGTAAGGGCAGCCGCTTGGGGGTAAGGGCAGCCTCTTTGGCCACGTCTGTGGACAGGCGCTCCTGGCTTTTGGCTGACGGGCGTTCTCCTTTGCCAGGGGGTGTCCTTTTCAGCCTGGAAGAGGGGGCTTCCGCACATCGGTGGACAGGCGCTCCTGGCTTTGGGCTGACGGGCATTCCCTTCTCCTTTGCCAGGGGGCGTCCTTTTCAGCCTGGAAGAGGGGGCTTCCTTTTGGAACCAGTTCCTGACATGGAGGATTGTGAGTGTGAACCCTCAGTGTCCCTTTGGGGGCAGGCGGGGAGGAGGGGGTGAGCAAGGCGGGCCCCTGACCGGCGTCCGCGCCGCTTCTCTCTTCCGCCAGTTCTTTGCCTCCATGATCTCCACCTTCACCCTCAACTCCATCCTGAGCATTTACAAAGGCAACCCCTGGGACCTCTCCAGTCCGGGACTCATCAACTTTGGCCGATTTGATTCGGAGGTAAGGGGCTCAGCCCTCTCGCTGGTGCTTTTCCTTGCCTCCTCCCCCGTAACCCTTTGTGAGGGGACCCCATTTCTCAGGATGTCCTCACCAAACAGGGGCGGCCTTGTGGGGGCTCCGAGGCCTGGGGCTTGTCATTTCAAAGCAGAGCCCCCCCCCGAGTCCTCTTTGCCATTCACCTGGAACGGCCTTCCTTGAACCCCTTTTTAAAATTTAGATGGCGAATCCAGACAACCTAATTGCCAGCCCTTCCCCTTCCGGGCTTAGGGGTTCCCCCCACCCCACCCCACCCCCTGTTTGTAGCAAAACAGCTTAAAGCCCCCCCCCGCAAGGCCGA